GCATTGGGGCACCACTTGCAGACCAAAGCAACGGCAACAAATCGTACAATTTAGCATTGGGTCACCACTTGCAGACCAACGCAACGGCAACAAATCGTACATCTTAGCATTGGGGCACCACTTGCAGACCAAAGCAACGGCAACAAATCGTACATCTTAGCATTGGGGCACCACTTGCAGACCAAAGCAACGTCAACAAATCGTACATCTTAGCATTGGGGCACCACTTGCAGACCAAGCAACGGCAACGGCACCATTGCAGACCAAGCAACGGCAACAAACCAGTTACATGTCTTAGCAATTGGGGACACCACTTTGCAGACCCAAAGAAACGGCAACAATAGTCAATCTTAGGAATTGGGGGCAACCACTGCCGACCAAAGCAACGAACAAATCGTACATCTTAGCATTGGGCAAATGCAGACCAACAGGCAACGGGCAAAAACAAATCGTAATTCACGGATTTTGGGGCCACCACGTTGCCAGACCAAAGCAACGGCAACAAATCGTACATCTTAGCATTGGGGCACCACTTGCAAACAAAAGCAACGGCAACAAAGCGTACATCTTAGCATTGGGGCACCACTTGCAGACCAAAGCAACGGCAACAAATCGTACATCTTAGCATTGGGGCACCACTTGCAGACCAAAGCAACGGCAACAAATCGTACATCTTAGCATTGGGGCACCATTGGCAGACCAAAGCAACGGCAACAAATCGTACATCTTAGCATTGGGGCACCACTTGCAGACCAACGCAACGGCAACAACTCGTACATCTGAGCATTGGGGCACCACTTCGAGACCAAAGCAACGGCAACAAATCGCACATCTTAGCATTGGGGGCACCACTTGCAGACCAAAGCAACGGCAACAAATCGTACATCTTAGCATTGGGGCACCACTTGCAGACCAAAGCAACGGCAACAAATCGTACATCTTAGCATTGGGGCACCACTTGCAGACCAAAGCAACGGCAACAAAATCGTCATCTTAGCATTGGGGGCACAATTGCAGACCAAAGCAACGGCAACAAAATCGTACATCTTTCAGCATTGGGGCACCACTATGCAGACCAAAGCAACGGCAACAAAAATCCGGACAGATTAGGCATTGGGGTTTCTGGGGAAAAACAAAACACTTGCAGACCAAAGCACGGCAACAAAATCGGACATTTAGCATTGGGGCACCACTTGCAGACCAAAGCAACGGCAACAAATCGTACATCTTAGCACTGGGGCACCACTTGCAGACCAAAGCAACGGCAACAAATCGTACATCTCAGCATTGGGGCACCACTTGCAGACCAAAGCAACGACAACAAATCGTACATCTTAGCATTGGGGCACCACTTGCAGACCAAAGCAACGGCAACAAATCGTACATCCCAGCATCGGGGCACCACTTGCAGACCAAAGCAACGGCAACAAATCGTACATCTCAGCATTGGGGCACCACTTGCAGACCAAAGCAACGGCAACAAATCGTACATCTTAGCATTGGGGCACCACTTGCAGACCAAAGCAACGGCAACAAATCTACATCTCAGCACTGGGGCACCACTTGCAGACCAAAGCAACGGCAACAAATCGTACATCTTAGCATTGGGGCACCACTTGCAGACCAAAGCAACGGCAACAAATCGTACATCTTAGCATTGGGGCACCACTTGCAGACCAAAGCAACGGCAACAAATCGTACATCTTAGCATTGGGGCACCACTTGCAGACCAAAGCAACGGCAACAAATCGTACATCTTAGCATTGGGGCACCACTTGCAGACAAAGCAACGGCAACAAATCGTACATCTTAGCATTGGGGCACCACTTGCAGACAAAGGCAACGGCAACAAATCGTACATCCACTTGCAGACCAAAGCAACGGCAACAAATCGTACATCTTAGCATTGGTCAAAGGCAACAAATCGTACATCTTAGCATTGGGGCACCACTTGCAGACCAAAGCAACGGCAACAAATCGTACATCTTAGCATTGGGGCACCACTTGCAGACCAAAGCAACGGCAACAAATCGTACATCTTAGCATTGGGGCACCACTTGCAGACCAAAGCAACGGCAACAAATCGTACATCTTTGCATTGGGGCACCACTTGCAGACCAAAGCAACGGCAACAAATCGTACATCTTAGCATTGGGGCACCACTTGCAGACCAAAGCAACGGCAACAAATCGTACATCTTAGCATTGGGGCACCACTTGCAGACCAAAGCAACGGCAACAAATCGTACATCTTAGCATTGGGGCACCACTTGCAGACCAAAGCAACGGCAACAAATCGTACATCTTAGCATTGGGGCACCACTTGCAGACCAAAGCAACGGCAACAAATCGTACATCTTAGCATTGGGGCACCACTTGCAGACCAAAGCAACGGCAACAAATCGTACATCTTAGCATTGGGGCACCACTTGCAGACCAAAGCAACGGCAACAAATCGTACATCTTAGCATTGGGGCACCACTTGCAGACCAAAGCAACGGCAACAAATCGTACATCTTAGCATTGGGGCACCACTTGCAGACCAAAGCAACGGCAACAAATCGTACATCTTAGCATTGGGGCACCACTTGCAGACCAAAGCAACGGCAACAAATCGTACATCTTAGCATTGGGGCACCACTTGCAGACCAAAGCAACGGCAACAAATCGTACATCTTAGCATTGGGGCACCACTTGCAGACCGAAGCAACGGCAACAAATCGTACATCTTAGCATTGGGGCACCACTTGCAGACCAAAGCAACGGCAACAAATCGTACATCTCTTCGATCAATGCCTTGAGCATGATGTCCAAAAAAGCAGGCGAGCAGAAACTGAAATGCCAGCGCTGCTCAATGCGAGTGCGCGCTTGGCTTGAGTTCCTCAAGCCTCTCCCACTGTCACCAGGGTGGGTGGGGTGCGCAGCACTAGGGAGCAATGAATGACAGAGTCAGGTAACGTGTTGTCACATGAAAGAAACTACAAGTTGAAACACAGCTCATTCTTTCAAGCTGCATGACAACAAAACGCTAAGCCCTTTCCAGGAACCTGAGGCACACGCAAGCCTCTTTTGACGGGAGTCTCATCGATCAATGCCTTGAGCATGATGTCCAAAAAAGCAGCCGAGCAGAAACTGAAATGCCAGCGCTGCTCAATGCGAGTGCGCGCTTGGCTTGAGTTCCTCAAGCCTCTCCCAATTCTCCACTCCACTGATAAGTCACCGCAAATTAAACACATGCTGCTCAAAGAGGTCAAACCTCACCTGATCCAAGCGAGAAATTCGCGGCATCGCATCAGAATGAAGATAAAGGGCATCACGGACTTCCCAAGCCTGGTGGCCCAAGGAACTCCAGCGTTGCAAACGCGTCTGCTGCCGCAAATCAAGAGCATTTCGAGCCCGTAGAACGGCCACCTCTCCTCTGCGAATGTATTCACGTGCTGAGCGCTCTCTGAGCCAACGCCCAAACAGTAATATATCGGCGAGGGGGATGCCCTGCCGTGCAAGCTCGGAGGCTCCAGAGCGTCTGAAGCTGTGAGTGGTGAGAAGCATGTCCGGACCACCCAGTAGACCGGATAGCTTTTTCACCCACCGAAGAATAGAGGCGTAACTCACAGTAAAGAGCGGCTGACTGGAGTCACGAGCGGGAAAGTGGCGGAGATGCTGGTGTATCCATGCAACCACCCCGGGGTTACGAAGCACCACTTTTTGTTCCATTCCCCGCTTGGTACGTCCAAGGCACAAAGTAACACTGTCCAAGCTGATTACCAAGTCACCATGTAGCAGCTGCAAGCTTTGCCTAACTCGCAAGAGACCGGCATAGCAAAGGAGCATCACTGTACTGATCTGAGGACGATTCAGCAGAAGAGCCACTACAATCATCGAAATGATGAGCTCAGGGGGAACTGCTGGCGCCTGTTTTGGCGGTTGCTCTGTGCCCCATGCATCAAAAACCTTCCAGGCAGTACGAAACGAACTACGAGGGTTTACTTTCAAAACGGCTGAAAGCGCCCAGCCATAGGCACTTCGCCCCTTGCCCGCTTCATAACCATCCAAAACCCGCCAAGAAAAGAATCTTGCTCCTCCTCAGCCATACTGCACCATTGCAGTCCAGCTGCTCTTAGATCATGGCTGAGATGTTCAAGGGCCTGGAGGTATTTTTCGCGAGTGGAAGGCTTCAAGGTTTTCAGCAAGAAACGTTGGACACGGTTGAGGCCATTCCCACTGAACATGGTGCAACCCGACCCACGGATCGCGGGCACTGATGTTGCTGTCAGCCGTGAGAGGCTTGAATGGCCGCCAGTAGCCCTTTTGCCGCACTACCGCAACCCGTTCCACAAAGTTCGTAGCCAGCACTCCAGAAAAATCTGCAGGATATTTAGCTGAGGCGGCCGCACGATAACAACCTCCAGTAGCCTGCTGAACTAGAGCTTCGTGCTTACGGCTGTGGTTGCACTTCAGATGAATAGTTGCGCATTGTTTGGGGAGCAAAAGCCCAATTGGTTTCTTTTTGCTTGCTCCGTATCTGCATAGGTGCACCTCGTGGTATATCATGCCAAACACCCTGCAGAAATGTGTAACCTCGTCTGAGCAAAAGATGAACGCACGAGTACGGCCTGGATCTGCCTGATGCGCCAGTCCACTCCAACCTCCCTGATAAGCGATTTCGCCCAGAAGGCCTAAGCAAAGTAGGAAAAGAACCGATCCGACACATACAGCATGCCGCTCTCTACCTGCCCAACAAGCCGATGGTTCCCCGAAGTCATCTCGGGACTGCAACGGTATTGCACCACCAATCGGTTGCAAAAGCCTACGCTGACAAGGAGGTGAAGCGAAACCACCAATGACTTTTCCGCTTTGAATGAGGACGAGAAGAAAAAGGCCAAGCTGTGCTTCCAGCAAATCTCCATACACGGTCTTTTGACCCCAGATCACCTCCTGGTTAAGCACCGCCCGCGGATCAATACGTATGGCGATTATGTTGATCTCATGGAGAGCCCCCAGTTTTTCAACACATTCACAAAGGTCACCTTGACTCCTAGGCCCAGAACATAAGTGCAGGAAGAAACAAGCATCGCGTGGCCAGAAGTTGACCTGTGAGACATCCACCTCACTCAGAGCCGTGGGATCCGGCGAGAGCCACACCTGGCCACTGGAGGTGTGAGTTGCTGGCTCCCACCGTCGCGATGGCTCATCTGCTGGGTTCTCTTTGGAAGGCATCCAAGGATAGAATACATCGTGACCCCCAGCGACATTTATGGCACACATTCTGCGACACCGGCTGTTCAGCTGAAACGAACTGGAACGACCCTTGCTAAGACAACCTGCGCAAGCCGCCGAATCCAACGGATGCACAAAGCGGCATCCCTCATCAACCGGCCTGCGGAGACGGTCCTCGGCCGCCCAGGTTGCCGCGTCGGCCTCACCCAATGTGATATGGGTCGGACTCCAAGGGGCACCAGCTGTGTGCCACCTGATACGCTCGATAGGTATACGGACTCTTCTGAGCGGACACTTGTGCTCTGTTGTCAGACCAATGCTCCACGGCAATTTGAGGTTGGTGTATACCTGCTTGTGATCACTGTATCTAGCCAGCAACTGTACCACATGCTTCGGTGCTATACCCCACGCTCGTCCAAGCCCTGTCATAGAGGAATCCGTGCATTCGATTCTCGTACTCCACGGAGCTGAAAGGTTGAAACTGCAGAAAGGTAGCAGAAGGCATGACATAGCTAACTCGACCCAGACCGTCTCAGGTCTCGCCTTCGTCCCCTCACAGATGCCAACCAGCCATAGGCGTACTGCAACACGGACCTGAGGCACGGACGAGCCGAATGAACAAACCCGTGCTTGCCTACCAGTCGGTCAACCACTCCAACAGGGACTTTACGAGCACGAAGTACATGTACCGTGGCTTGAAAAAGATGTCTGCGCTTCTCCAAGCTGACTCCCACCCAATGCCCATGTGGATCAACGTAGTAGCCCTGAACTTCTTCGCCCAGGGCTGAATCCACCGACTTCTTAGCATTGGGTTCCACACCATGCTGCACCCAAGAGGACTCAGTGGAATCCATCCACGCAGCCCCGACGCCTGCGTCCAGCTGTGTTGCTGCGTGCTCAATGGCCCAAACATCATCCACAATCGACCCCCACAAAGGCAAACACTCCGGAACAACCATATCAGGGTGCAGTCTATGCTCGGAGGGAAGCCCAGCTCTCTGAGTAACTGTGTCCGTCAACCCTTGCGCCCAACCGGCTGATGGCCCAAAACCCATGGGAACTGAACATGAAGCTGGAAAACGTTGATGCTCAGGGCCTGCGCCGCGTCCAATCTGTATGGGAGGCCCGCACAACCACCGTCGCCAGCGCCTGCCAATTTTTAGGCGGTGGAAGTAGTGGCGGGCATCCCGCTTTGATACCACTACCACTCCACCCTCGGGCACGGTCAATGAGCGCATCTTCGGGATAAATGCAAACTGGGGCCGGGGTAGTTTGTCGGGATCCAGAAGCTGATTGACACTGGGATCTGTGATCACTCTGTCTTCATGCTCGTCTTTCTTCACAGCGAAAGCTCCTGCCAAACACAACGCCCCCCGATGCCTGGCCACTTGGCCACGCCTCTTGAGACAGTGCAGGCCTGCTCTCACATTGCGTTGCACAAGCTCGGGGTATGAACGTGCCAGCCAAGTATACCCTCTCTTCACGTGGCGTGGCCTCCGCCTGGATAGCAGCAGCAGGGCATTCGGACGAACAACCTGCTCCGCCATCTCTGGGAAAGTGCTCTGCAGATGCTGCTCAAGAGGGACATCAGCAGCTTTACTCGGAACACCCCCTTTCACACCCAAAGCCAACACCACCCCGCTACCAGAGTAATGTTCAGACTGCTTCAAAAAGCTGTCAAGCCCTTCACTCGACAGTAGAGGCTCGTCGGTCACCACCATTGCCTCCAAGGCACATACTATCCGAGCATGTACCCGCCGATGGGCAGCAGATAGCAGCGGTTGTCCACCACCACCGTCTTGCCCCCGATGCAAATCATTAAGAACCGCGATGACGAGATTGGCCCCTTCAACAAGACCTGTACAAGCTTCTGGAGAATGTGCCATACAATCGGTCACCACTGAGCCACCCCGGCTAAAGGGAGGCAGAGGAAAAACATGCCCAGGAGAGTGCCTCACGCTCTTCCCCCGATCTCGCTTGAATTCATGAAGAACTTGCTGCAGCCGACGCACATGAGCACCCAAGGAGCATGACCTGTATCCCCAGCCCAAAGCCTTCGCCAAACCGGCAACGGCCTCAGAATAGAAAGTGCCAAAACCACCACGAGTGCCCACATCCCTGCCGCAGGACGGGCCGAGCGCCCGCCGAAGTAACCTGCTCAGGCATTGGTCAGGGCCAGCATGGCGCTGCTGGCCAAGCTTTTCTGAGTGTTGACCAGCTCGATGGCCTCCGCTTTCTCCCAGCTGCCGCCTTTCATCTTCGCAGCCTGGATAGCCAGGATCCTTTGAGATAGGATGTCCATAGCCCGTTCGATCTCCCGGCGGTTGACTGAGTCCAGGATTTCTGCCAGCGTGAGCACCTCCTTCAAATCCCGGATCTCCGAAAGTCCTGTGAACTGGTGCGCCCAGGCCGCCACCGAAACATCCCTCAGCTGACTCGACCTGCTCATTGTGCCCTTTGACAACCTGGCGTAAACCCCTGCTAGGAAGTGAGCCGTCAATGCACCCGGATGCTTCGAGGCGAAAGCCACCAGATCGCCTTTCTTCTTCCACCGTAGCCCGTCCACGTGAGACAGGTCCTCGTAGCTGACGTGCTTGCTTCTGGACTTGTCTTTCCACCTCAAAGGCTTCCCGCTGGAACTGCTGTTGCTGGTTGAGCTGCTCGAGCTGCGACTTCGCGATCGGCTGGTTGAAGAACTGCTGCTCGACCCATGTCGCTTCTTCTTCTTTTTGCCCTTCTTGTGGCTCTTCTTCTTCTTTTTGCCTTTCTTGGATTTCCTGGCATCCTTTTTCTCTTTCCTCGAATCTGCCAATGATAGGGCTTGCAGTTGCTTCACCGCCGCCTCCAAACTGCGCAGATCCACCTGGCCCTGGCCGGTGCCATCTCCACCACTGGCGCCGGGCCCATGTAGACCCAGCCCGGCAACCCCGGCCGCGCCACCTGCCGCCGCCACGCCTGGCGCCCCGACCTGAGCTGGGGCCACCGGCATCACAACCGGAAGCGTTACCGGCTCCAGCCGACCAGCTGTACCTGCAGCGTTCACCGGATAGCTCCCTGCACCCGCTTGCTGCAGCTGTTGCAAGATGACCGTCCCATCCCTTATCACTTGCTGCGACTCTGCCGCAGTGGGAAACCACTTCGCCCCTGCACCTGGAGGAGTGCACACCCAGTTCACAGAGTCCGCCCCGACTCCATGCGGGGGGCGACGACTCCCATTCCCGACCATGACAGATGCACTCATATGACCCGCAACTGGTAGAACCACGACCCAAATCCATTCTCCTCCGTCTTCCGAAGTACTGCGAGCCAGAATTTCTCCTGGGCCCGGCCCATGCCCCACCACGAACACCTCGTCGTAATGAGGAGGCCTCTCCACCACCGCAAAGGTACCCACCGGGTAATGGCCTGCTCCTGCCGCTGCCATCCCGTCGCAGGTTAAGGAGAACTGATCTGACCGACTGAATTGCAGCCACCACGCGAGGAACAGTTTCAAGAACCAAGTGCCTATCCAATTCCAGATATGCACCAATACAGTGCCCCAACTAAGCACCAGGTACAATCCCTCCAGAAACAGATAGCCGACCAGGCGTAGACAGAGCACTATCAAAGGGATCCACTCCAACAGCAATAGTACTCCTCCCACGAGAAAAACCTTTTGCACGCCTTCCCACAAGGCGTCAGAGGCCCCCTCCGAAGCTAGGACCTGATGGCCGACAAAGCTGGCCACCTCTCTCGCAACTCCTTGGGCCAGCCAAACACGCCAGTTATGATGTACAGCAAGTCCCGTCAATCCGGACACAGCAGCTGCACTCACCACGCGCAAGGACATCAACCTATTTGACCTCGCCTGAGCAGCTTGAGCAATGAATGACAGAGTCAGGTAACGTGTTGTCACATGAAAGAAACTACAAGTTGAAACACAGCTCATGGGGCACCACTTGCAGACCAAAGCAACGGCAACAAATCGTACATCTTAGCACTGGGGCACCACTTGCAGACCAAAGCAACGGCAACAAATCGTACATCTCAGCATCGGGGCACCACTTGCAGACCAAAGCAACGGCAACAAATCGTACATCTCAGCATCGGGGCACCACTTGCAGACCAAAGCAACGGCAACAAATCGTACATCTTAGCATTGGGGCACCACTTGCAGACCAAAGCAACGGCAACAAATCGTACATCTTAGCATTGGGGCACCACTTGCAGACCAAAGCAACGGCAACAAATCGTACATCTTAGCATTGGGGCACCACTTGCAGACCAAAGCAACGGCAACAAATCGTACATCTTAGCATTGGGGCACCACTTGCAGACCAAAGCAACGGCAACAAATCGTACATCTTAGCATTGGGGCACCACTTGCAGACCAAAGCAACGGCAACAAATCGTACATCTTAGCATTGGGGCACCACTTGCAGACCAAAGCAACGGCAACAAATCGTACATCTTAGCATTCTTACATACATTAGCATTGGGGCACCACTTGCAGACCAAAGCAACGGCAACAAATCGTACATCTTAGCACTGGGGCACCACTTGCAGACCAAAGCAACGGCAACAAATCGTACATCTAGCATTGGGGCACCACTTGCAGACCAAAGCAACGGCAACAAATCGTACATCTAGCATTGGGGCCACACTTGCAGACCAAAGCAACGGCAACAAATCGTACATCTTAGCATTGGGGCACCACTTGCAGACCAAAGCAACGGCAACAAATCGTACATCTTAGCATTGGGGCACCACTTGCAGACCAAAGCAACGGCAACAAATCGTACATCTTAGCATTGGGGCACCACTTGCAGACCAAAGCAACGGCAACAAATCGGCACCACTTGCAGACCAAAGCAACGGCAACAAATCAACATCTTACATCTTATCGCAGCACCACTTGCACGGCAACAAATCGTACATCTTAGCGGCAGACCAAAGGCAACAAATCGTACATCTAGTGGGGCACCACTTGCAGACCAAAGCAACGGCAACAAATCGTACATCTTAGCATTGGGGCACCACTTGCAGACCAAAGCAACGGCAACAAATCGTACATCTTAGCATTGGGGCACCACTTGCAGACCAAAGCAACGGCAACAAATCGTACATCTTAGCATTGGGGCACCACTTGCAGACCAAAGCAACGGCAACAAATCGTACATCTTAGCATTGGGGCACCACTTGCAGACCAAAGCAACGGCAACAAATCGTACATCTTAGCATTGGGGCACCACTTGCAGACCAAAGCAACGGCAACAAATCGTACATCTTAGCATTGGGGCAACAAACCACTTGCAGACCAAAGCAACGGCAACAAATCGTACACGTCTTAGCATTGGGGCACCACTTGCAGACCAAAGCAACGGCAACAAATCGTACATCTTAGCATTGGGGCACCACTTGCAGACCAAAGCAACGGCAACAAATCGTACATCTTAGCATTGGGGCACCACTTGCAGACCAAAGCAACGGCAACAAATCGTACATCTTAGCATTGGGGCACCACTTGCAGACCAAAGCAACGGCAACAAATCGTACATCTTAGCATTGGGGCACCACTTGCAGACCAAAGCAACGGCAACAAATCGTACATCTTAGCATTGGGGCACCACTTGCAGACCAAAGCAACGGCAACAAATCGTACATCTTAGCATTGGGGCACCACTTGCAGACCAAAGCAACGGCAACAAATCGTACATCTTAGCATTGGGGCACCACTTGCAGACCAAAGCAACGGCAACAAATCGTACATCTTAGCATTGGGGCACCACTTGCAGACCAAAGCAACGGCAACAAATCGTACATCTTAGCATTGGGGCACCACTTGCAGACCAAAGCAACGGCAACAAATCGTACATCTTAGCATTGGGGCACCACTTGCAGACCAAAGCAACGGCAACAAATCGTACATCTTAGCATTGGGCACCACTTGCAGACCAAAGCAACGGCAACAAATCGTACATCTTAGCATTGGGGCACCACTTGCAGACCAAAGCAACGGCAACAAATCGTACATCTTAGCATTGGGGCACCACTTGCAGACCAAAGCAACGGCAACAAATCGTACATCTTAGCATTGGGGCACCACTTGCAGACCAAAGCAACGGCAACAAATCGTAGCATTGGGGCACCACTTGCAGACCAAAGCAACGGCAACAAATCGTACATCTTTGGGGCACCACTTGCAGACCAAAGCAACGGCAACAAATCGTACATCTTAGCATTGGGGCACCACTTGCAGACCAAAGCAACGGCAACAAATCGTACATCTTAGCATTGGGGCACCACTTGCAGACCAAAGCAACGGCAACAAATCGTACATCTTAGCATTGGGGCACCACTTGCAGACCAAAGCAACGGCAACAAATCGTACATCTTAGCATTGGGGCACCACTTGCAGACCAAAGCAACGGCAACAAATCGTACATCTTAGCATTGGGGCACCACTTGCAGACCAAAGCAACGGCAACAAATCGTACATCTTAGCATTGGGGCACCACTTGCAGACCAAAGCAACGGCAACAAATCGTACATCTTAGCATTGGGGCACCACTTGCAGACCAAAGCAACGGCAACAAATCGTACATCTTAGCATTGGGGCACCACTTGCAGACCAAAGCAACGGCAACAAATCGTACATCTTAGCATTGAGGCACCACTTGCAGACCAAAGCAACGGCAACAACTCGTACATCTTAGCATTGGGGCACCACTTGCAGACCAAAGCAACGGCAACAAATCGTACATCTCAGCACTGGGGCACCACTTGCAGACCAAAGCAACGGCAACAAATCGTACATCTTTGCATTGGGGCACCACTTGCAGACCAAAGCAACGGCAACAAATCGTACATCTTAGCATTGGGGCACCACTTGCAGACCAAAGCAACG